TCCTTCACTACCACAACATGACTTGTTACTCAAACTGGCATAGTTCATTCAAGTCAGTCCTTCACTACCACAACATGGCTTGTTACTCAAACTGGCATAGTTCATTCAAGTCAGTCCTTCACTACCACAACATGACTTGTTACTCAAACTGGCATAGTTCATTCAAGTCAGTCCTTCACTACCACAACATGACTTGTTACTCAAACTGGCATAGTTCATTCAAGTCAGTCCTTCACTACCACACCACATGACTTGTTACTCAAACTGGCATAGTTCATTCAAGTCAGTCCTTCACTACCACACCATGGCTTGTTACTCAAACTGGCATAGTTCATTCAAGTCAGTCCTTCACTACCACACCATGACTTGTTACTCAAACTGGCATAGTTCATTCAAGTCAGTCCTTCACTACCACAACATGACTTGTTACTCAAACTGGCATAGTTCATTCAAGTCAGTCCTTCACTACCACAACATGACTTGTTACTCAAACTGGCATAGTTCATTCAAGTCAGTCCTTCACTACCACAACATGACTTGTTACTCAAACTGGCATAGTTCATTCAAGTCAGTCCTTCACTACCACAACATGACTTGTTACTCAAACTGGCATAGTTCATTCAAGTCAGTCCTTCACTACCACAACATGACTTGTTACTCAAACTGGCATAGTTCATTCAAGTCAGTCCTTCACTACCACAACATGACTTGTTACTCAAACTGGCATAGTTCATTCAAGTCAGTCCTTCACTACCACAACATGACTTGTTACTCAAACTGGCATAGTTCATTCAAGTCAGTCCTTCACTACCACAACATGACTTGTTACTCAAACTGGCATAGTTCATTCAAGTCAGTCCTTCACTACCACACCATGACTTGTTACTCAAACTGGCATAGTTCATTCAAGTCAGTCCTTCACTACCACACACCATGGCTTGTTACTCAAACTGGCATAGTTCATTCAAGTCAGTCCTTCACTACCACAACATGACTTGTTACTCAAACTGGCATAGTTCATTCAAGTCAGTCCTTCACTACCACACCATGACTTGTTACTCAAACTGGCATAGTTCATTCAAGTCAGTCCTTCACTACCACAACATGACTTGTTACTCAAACTGGCATAGTTCATTCAAGTCAGTCCTTCACTACCACAACATGACTTGTTACTCAAACTGGCATAGTTCATTCAAGTCAGTCCTTCACTACCACAACATGACTTGTTACTCAAACTGGCATAGTTCATTCAAGTCAGTCCTTCACTACCACAACATGGTTTGTTACTCAAACTGGCATAGTTCATTCAAGTCAGTCCTTCACTACCACAACATGACTTGTTACTCAAACTGGCATAGTTCATTCAAGTCAGTCCTTCACTACCACAACATGACTTGTTACTCAAACTGGCATAGTTCATTCAAGTCAGTCCTTCACTACCACACCATGACTTGTTACTCAAACTGGCATAGTTCATTCAAGTCAGTCCTTCACTACCACAACATGACTTGTTACTCAAACTGGCATAGTTCATTCAAGTCAGTCCTTCACTACCACAACATGGCTTGTTACTCAAACTGGCATAGTTCATTCAAGTCAGTCCTTCACTACCACAACATGACTTGTTACTCAAACTGGCATAGTTCATTCAAGTCAGTCCTTCACTACCACAACATGACTTGTTACTCAAACTGGCATAGTTCATTCAAGTCAGTCCTTCACTACCACACCATGGCTTGTTACTCAAACTGGCATAGTTCATTCAAGTCAGTCCTTCACTACCACAACATGACTTGTTACTCAAACTGGCATAGTTCATTCAAGTCAGTCCTTCACTACCACAACATGACTTGTTACTCAAACTGGCATAGTTCATTCAAGTCAGTCCTTCACTACCACACCATGGCTTGTTACTCAAACTGGCATAGTTCATTCAAGTCAGTCCTTCACTACCACAACATGACTTGTTACTCAAACTGGCATAGTTCATTCAAGTCAGTCCTTCACTACCACAACATGACTTGTTACTCAAACTGGCATAGTTCATTCAAGTCAGTCCTTCACTACCACAACATGACTTGTTACTCAAACTGGCATAGTTCATTCAAGTCAGTCCTTCACTACCACAACATGACTTGTTACTCAAACTGGCATAGTTCATTCAAGTCAGTCCTTCACTACCACAACATGACTTGTTACTCAAACTGGCATAGTTCATTCAAGTCAGTCCTTCACTACCACAACATGACTTGTTACTCAAACTGGCATAGTTCATTCAAGTCAGTCCTTCACTACCACAACATGACTTGTTACTCAAACTGGCATAGTTCATTCATTCAAGTCAGTCCTTCACTACCACAACATGACTTGTTACTCAAACTGGCATAGTTCATTCAAGTCAGTCCTTCACTACCACAACATGACTTGTTACTCAAACTGGCATAGTTCATTCAAGTCAGTCCTTCACTACCACAACATGACTTGTTACTCAAACTGGCATAGTTCATTCAAGTCAGTCCTTCACTACCACAACATGACTTGTTACTCAAACTGGCATAGTTCATTCAAGTCAGTCCTTCACTACCACAACATGACTTGTTACTCAAACTGGCATAGTTCATTCAAGTCAGTCCTTCACTACCACAACATGACTTGTTACTCAAACTGGCATAGTTCATTCAAGTCAGTCCTTCACTACCACACCATGGTTTGTTACTCAAACTGGCATAGTTCATTCAAGTCAGTCCTTCACTACCACACCATGACTTGTTACTCAAACTGGCATAGTTCATTCAAGTCAGTCCTTCACTACCACACCATGACTTGTTACTCAAACTGGCATAGTTCATTCAAGTCAGTCCTTCACTACCACACCATGACTTGTTACTCAAACTGGCATAGTTCATTCAAGTCAGTCCTTCACTACCACAACATGACTTGTTACTCAAACTGGCATAGTTCATTCAAGTCAGTCCTTCACTACCACACCATGACTTGTTACTCAAACTGGCATAGTTCATTCAAGTCAGTCCTTCACTACCACAACATGACTTGTTACTCAAACTGGCATAGTTCATTCAAGTCAGTCCTTCACTACCACAACATGACTTGTTACTCAAACTGGCATAGTTCATTCAAGTCAGTCCTTCACTACCACACCATGACTTGTTACTCAAACTGGCATAGTTCATTCAAGTCAGTCCTTCACTACCACAACATGACTTGTTACTCAAACTGGCATAGTTCATTCAAGTCAGTCCTTCACTACCACAACATGACTTGTTACTCAAACTGGCATAGTTCATTCAAGTCAGTCCTTCACTACCACACCATGACTTGTTGACTCAAACTGGCATAGTTCATTCAAGTCAGTCCTTCACTACCACAACATACTTTCACATACCAAATGTTAAACTGCGTTTTGCATATTATTCTACATAATTATATTGCAACCGTGAAGATGCGGGTTAGAATTGGTCTTCAGTAAGCCATGCTTATCGTAAGATTCGACTGACAGGATCGGGTGGTCCAGGCTCGCTGAACGTATCTGTTGATCACTGCATTGCCTGGTCAAGACTCGATTATTTATAGACCGCCGCCATATAGCTGGAATATTGCTGAGTGCGGCGTAAAATGAAATTATATTCACTCTGTCATTGACAAAAGAAACCTTCATCAGTAGACAGGATCTGAGGTACAGTCGAGAATGCTCTTTTTACCAAGATTTCAAAGAGTGCCATATAACAGCACAAGCTGTCCGATCAAGGGTGCAACATTCAAATCCACAGTGAAGCTTTCAAAACGTTTTATGGTAGACACGTGGATTACATTTCCATATCTGACTCATCAGTGACAAAAATGTCGTCCGCCTTGTACAATCGACTCGGTTTTGTGTATTTTATGGACTAAGATGAGAAATATCAATATTTCAGACGTTTTAATTCATTCTTCATTTTGTAGCATACCCTCCCTGTCGTTGGACAATATATTCAAGATGGTCTGCAGTGTCAACAAGGTCAGTGAGTTATGTGAGTCGGCTTACTGCATCTGGAAATAACTCGGGAACAATAAAACTGTATTATCACACATTCACGCATTCCTCAGATGTCCTTCACCTTGTTCCAACACTTGTTCGAAATGCATGCAAAACTGACAGCTCACAATCTGATTATATCCAGTTTCAAAATCACCTGTCATTCCTGATGGATGTACAAACGTGGTTAATAATGCCACTTTTTGTCGTTTCCTATGATTTTGAAAATTCACATTTTGTGAAATTAATATTTCTCTGATGATACACAAGAAGCCTTTAGTACGTCTCTGGACGCTGGATGTGTATCAATCAGATAATAAGATAAGTGTCATGTCCAGTGGACAAAAGGATTGTCCACATAAATGTATTGTTCATTCGTTGTACTGATTTATTCACTACTGTTAACCAGACAGGTTATTAGGTTTCAGTTTGTGTACATACGAACAGTTCGCGAAAACACACCTGACAACAACTTACTTCGCGGAAAGCTCGAGCATGAAAAAAGCATGCGTTTTCGCCACGTGTGGAGTTCGAAGGGGAAATTGTAGTTAGTTCGTTTCGATATGTTGATAAGGCAGCACGCCTTGAGATCGTTCGTTAGTGGTAACCATTTGGGTGTTAGATTGTTTGACAGAGGTTTAGTGTAATAGAAACTTAGGAATGTAAGATATTGTAAAGGTAATAAAAGGTAAATTAAAACAAATATTAGATTCTGATTTAGTGGTTTTGTTTGATATCACAACTAGTACAGTTCCTGCTGACCAAAATGGTAGCAGAGCGTGGTTTATCGTGGTGTCTTCGTGGTTAGTTCGTGGTTTATTAGTTGTTGCACATGGTTATTGCCTGATGGTGGTTCATGGTGTTGCAAGTTAGAATTAGTTTGGATGCAGGAATTGTTCTAGTCTGTGAAAGGTAAGTTAGCTGATAGAAAGTTTGTTAGGTTAGTATTAAAAAACAAAGAATAATAATGTCAGAACCTAAACAGGTAAGTCCAGATGAAACGGATTTAATAAAAACGGAAACTAAGCCGGTCCCTGATCAAAACAGTCAGTCGAGGACAGTCGTTGAAGATGTTTTGATAAAACTTAAAAAGCAAAAAGCCAGTGCAAAGTCTGCTTTCACGAAAGCTAGAAATAAACTCTACAACATGACCGAGGGTCAGAATGTTCAAACTCGTAGGGCTGTTAGAAATCAAATGGACCAATTGTGCATTGTGCAAGATCATGCAATGGAAATAATGATAAAACTGTCAGAAGAATATTCAAAAATCAATGATGTAGCAAATGTTAAAAACATTAGCATGGAAATAACTAGGCTTGAAGATGAAAATGACAGTGCACAGGCACATGCTCAGCAGTACTTAGACTCTAGATCAGATGCTAGTTCTGCACTTAGTTTAAGAACAGGGATGTCAATGCTGTTTAGTCGTGATCAAGGCAATAGTACAGGGCACAGTTTACCTGGCGCACAGAAGCCAACTAAACAGGGTAAAACAAGACCCACAGTTAACAAAGAAACTGCAGGAAATGAAGATGAATTTGATCAACCAAACGTCATGTTAAATGTCAATCCACACTATGAACACAGTACACGCACAAATATCCCAGAACAAACCGCTAAAGGTGCAATAGGACGTGACATGTGGAGGCAGTTGGGTAGAGTTACTATTCCAGTGTTTGCTGGCGATGTTAGATCGTATCAGGGATGGAAAGCAGCATTTATTGCATGCATTGATAATTCACCAGCAACACCGGAATACAAACTACTGCAGTTGCGTCAGTATTTAGCAGGGGAAGCGCTTAGAGTGGTTAAAGATTTGGGACATAATGCAATTGCTTATCAGGTCGCTCTTGAAAGACTTGAGAGAAAATTTGGCGGCAAGAGACGACAGATTGCATTACATCTTGCAGAAATAGACAATTTCAAACCCATTCGACCTGGTCATGCAAAAGACCTAGATAGATTTGCAGACATGCTTGATGTAGCTGTAGTTAATCTTCGCGAATCTGACAGGGTTGAAGAATTAGGAAATGGCTTACTTTATATGAAGTTGCAAACAAAGATGACTGAGGCCATGGTTACAGAGTATCAACGTTGGGTATATGATAGACAAAGGCAAGAATCAGTTGAAACTCTCAGAGAATGGGTGCTCCAAGAAGCAGAGTTTCAAACTATTGCAGCTGAGACCATTCGTGGTGTCTGTGATAAGTCAGTAAAATCAGAGTACAAACGAGCTCCTCGTACATTTCTAGTGCATGATAGTAACCAGAATCCTGGTACACACTATGTTGGTGAGAAGTACTTGTGCAGAGTATGTACAGAGCCTCATGACGTATGGAACTGTAGAAAGTTCATCACTTTAAAAGTTCAAGATAGATGGAACAAAGCAAAGGAGTTAAATCTTTGCTTCCGCTGCCTCGGAAGCAATCATCGTGGTAAACACTGTTGGCGAACAACGTTGTGTGGAATAGATGGATGCACAAGCAACCACAACAGGCTCTTGCATGTGAATAGGGACAGGGTTCATTCAGCTGTCAGAACTGAAAAGGGTTCCGTTGAACAAAGCAACGTGGGAAATACAGACAATATTTCAAAAGGAAACCATGAACGGTCACATGCAACTAATATGGAATGCAACGTAGCTTCAAAACCTTCACTCATAGGGCTTAGAACAGTGCCAGTGATACTTAAACATGGGAATCGCAGAGTCACAGTTAATGCGTTATTAGATGACGCGAGCACAAGGTCATATATTAATGCAGACGTTGCTGCAGAGCTAGGACTGCAAGGTGAAACCAAAAAAGTGACGGTGAAAGTTTTGAATGATGAGAAAGCCTCGTTTGAAACTATGCCAGTGGCATTTGGACTTGAGAGTAGAGATGGAGAAGTTGACGTTAGTATAACTGCTTTCACAACAACCAAGGTTACAGGTGATTTGCAGGTTGTTGATTGGAAGACGTACGGTAAGTTATGGCCACATTTGAAAGACATAGATTTTCCTAAAATTGCCTCCCCTCCAATTGTAGATATCCTCATAGGCATGGACAATGCAGATCTTCATTATTCCTACTCAGATGTAGGTGGAAATCCAGGTGAACCTCTAGCAAGGTTAACTCCTCTAGGCTGGACCTGTATTGGAAATATTGCAGGGACAGGCTCTGACATTCAGTCTCACTTTACCAGTACTTTCTTTTCTGGTTCCAATGCTGATAACCAAGAGTTGAATATGTTGTTGCAAAAGTTTTGGGAAATTGAGCGATTCCAGTCGAAAGAAAATGAAAATATGAGCCCTGAAGACAAGAATGTGCACAATAGGGTGAAAGATACATTGGTGTATGAGGATGGTCACTATCAAATTGGCATACCATGGAAGAAAGAGGTACATGCTTTACCATCTGATAACTATCAGATGGCTCTCAGTCGTCTTGAGAGCACAGAAAAGAAATTAGCAAAGGATGAGACAATAGCTCAAGCATATGATGATATCATCTCACAGTATCACAAAAAAGGGTATATAAGAAAAGTATCTCCCGAAGAAAAGACACATACTGGAAAGTGGTATCTGCCTCATTTTCCGGTTGTACGTTTAGATCGTCTCACAACAAAAGTGAGGATTGTATTTGATGCTTCGGCCAAGTACAAGGGTATTTCTCTTAATGAAGTTATCCATCAAGGCCCAAAGCTACAGAGGGAACTTTTTGATGTCTTGTTGAGATTTAGACGCAATCCAGTTGCAGTGATGAGCGATATAGCAGAGATGTACCTTCAGGTCAAATTATCTCCAGATGATAGGCCCTATCATAGGTTCCTTTGGAGATCCATGAAACGAGATGAGCAGGCCATAGAGTATGAGTTCAGTAGAGTTGTATTTGGGGTGAATGCATCTCCTTTTTTAGCTCAGTTTGTGAGTCAGGAAAATGCCAATAAACATCAGGGTGATCTTCCGTTAGCTGCAGAAACTGTGAAAAAAGCTACATATATGGATGATAGCATGGACTCTGTGGAGGATGAGAAAACAGCCATTGAGTTGTACAGACAGTTGATCGAGCTTTGGAATAGAGCTGGAATGCGTCCTCGGAAGTGGCTTTCAAATTCTCACGAGGTTCTCAGTCAGATACCTGTTGAAGAACGATTATCAGAAGTTAAGTTAGACAGTGGTTACTTACCCTCGACAAAGACCCTCGGCCTCATGTGGGTAGCTGAAAGAGATGTCTTTACATTCACTTCCAACTTACCTGAAATGAACAACACAATCTCAAAAAAAGAATCTTCCTTCGTCAAATAGCAAAACTGTTTGATCCTCTAGGATTTCTTGCACCCTTCACTGTAAGGGCAAAGATCATCTTACAAGAAATGTGGACAGTAGGGTTAGATTGGGACGAGGAACTAGACAATGATCTGAAAGAGAAAGCATATCAGTGGCTTATGGAACGGGAAGATTTAATACACATTCAGGTTCCAAGATGTTTGCGTTGTAACAAGGTCAAAGAAACTAGACTACACAGCTTTGTAGATGCATCTGAAAATGCATATGGTGCCATTGTGTATGCTGTGAATACTTACCAGAATAATGAAATCTCCAGTGTAATCATTGCTGCGAAAGGACGAGTAGCACCACTGAAAGCTATTAGCATTCCACGCATGGAATTAATGGCTGCTGTGACTGGACTCAGATTAGCTGTTGCAATAGCAAAGGTTTTGGACGTGTCGATTGACACGGTTACATTTTGGACAGACAGTTCAAATGCTTTGGGGTGGATAAAGAACCATAGCCGAACATTCAAACCATTTGTAGCAAATAGAGTTAGTGAAGTTCAAGAACTGACTAATCCGTGTCAGTGGCGGTATGTGCCAACAGACCAAAATCCAGCAGATATGTTGACTAGAGGAATAGCTGCATCAAAGTTGATTGACAATCAGATGTGGTGGTCAGGACCCCTTTTCCTGGCTAGAGATGAAAGTGAATGGCCCAGAAATCTGTCTGAAAGAGAAGACAGAAGGAAATGTTTACCAGAAACTAAAACTCTGAAGGAAAACAAGATAATTACCATGTTAGTGAACGACTCGTCCTGTGAAGAGTGGAGACTCAAAGCTACACGATACTCAGATTGGAGAAGACTGACAAGAATCCAAGCATGGGTATACAGATTCTTGAACAACTGTGTTGAAGGGAACCTTAAAAGGATTCATGGAGAACTGACTGCAGAAGAAATTGAAACAGCACAGTTCAAGATAATAGCACAAATGCAGAGAGAAGAATTTCCAGATGAATATTCCTGCCTTGAAAAGGGAAAACCATTACCATCTAATAGCAAGCTGTTAGGACTACAACCCAAGCTGGATGAAGATGGAGTGATGAGATCGGATGGACGATTGGCTTATGCTGAGCATCTTTCTCAAGATTCAAGGTTTCCGATCATCTTGCCGCGAAGAAACTGGATCACAAGATTGATTGTGAAGTCTTACCATGAGGAAGGACGTCATATTACAGGAACCAATCAGACATTAGCAGCACTTTCTGCAAAATTTTGGGATCCTTTCTGGCAGAGAGGAAATTAGAGACTGGGAGCGACAATGTTCACAATGTCGTAAGCAGAAGGCGAAGTAGCACACCAGATCATGGCTCCTCTTCCAAGCATGAGACTCAAACCTTCTCTCCGTGCTTTCACACAAGCAGGACTCGACTTCGCTGGACCTTTTCTGACAGTACAGGGAAGAGGAAAAGCAAGAATGAAGCGCTATCTATGCCTCTTCACGTGCCTTGCATCGAGGGCTGTACATCTTGAGATCGCATATGGCCTGGACACCAATTCCTTTCTCAATGCATTTTATCGCATGGCCAGTCGCAGAGGACTCCCAGAGGACATTGTTTGTGACAATGGAACAAACTTCGTTGGGGCAGAGAAAGAGCTAAAAGAACTCGTTGCTTGTCTGGACAGTGATGCTTTGAAACGAACATTAGCAAATCGTGGAACAAAATGGAAGTTTAATCCTCCATATGCACCTCACTTCGGAGGTGTGTTCGAGACAATGGTCAAGGCAGCCAAAAAAGCAATCTTCGCTATTCTGGGAAACAGTGATGTAACAGATGAAGAACTCATGACAGCGTTCATTGGAGCAGAAGCCTTGATGAATTCCCGCCCATTGACCTATCAGACAGCACATCCACAGGATGATGTACCTCTGACGCCGAACCACTTTCTTCAAGGACAGGCAGGAGGCACCTTTGCTCCGGAATCGGTGGATACAACGACCTTCAACCCAAGGAAACGATGGAGAAGGATACAAGAGCTTATACGGCACTTCTGGAGCAGGTGGATGAAGGAGTGGATACCCAGTCTTAACAGACGGAGGAAGTGGCTCACTCGTCAACAGGATATCAACGTGAATGACATCGTGCTGGTGATATCGCCTAACACTCCACGTGGACACTGGCCTATGGGACGAATTATCAAGACTCACCCTGGGAAGGATGGTTTTACAAGAGTGGTGGATATACAGACTGGTAAAAGTTTTGACCAGGCCAGTGACGAAAGTGTGCAGTCTGGAAATGGATTCCATCAACTGTTAGTTTCAAGGATTGAAAAAGAACAGGATTCTGTGGACACTGTGACATTCAAAATGTGGACTTTTGGAGATTCGTGGATGTGTGGAACTGAACTGTGAACATTTTATGTAACATTCTGGAAAAGTATTTTCGCAATGATGGATTTATTGTGACATGGGATTATTGTGACACTAGATATATTGTGACATTGGAATTATTGTGACACTGAAAATGTTGTGACAATGGATTTATTCTGACATTTGTGACATTGGATTTATTCGCTGTACTTACAGAATGTTTGGATATATGAGTGGATGCTATTAGGATATTATTTTGAATCGGGTAAGTTCGTTATTTGTGTTGATAAACTCCGTTCTATCAAGGAGGGGGATATGGACAAAAGGATTGTCCACATAAATGTATTGTTCATTCGTTGTACTGATTTATTCACTACTGTTAACCAGACAGGTTATTAGGTTTCAGTTTGTGTACATACGAACAGTTCGCGAAAACACACCTGACAACAACTTACTTCGCGGAAAGCTCGAGCATGAAAAAAGCATGCGTTTTCGCCACGTGTGGAGTTCGAAGGGAAATTGTAGTTAGTTCGTTTCGATATGTTGATAAGGCAGCACGCCTTGAGATCGTTCGTTAGTGGTAACCATTTGGGTGTTAGATTGTTTGACAGAGGTTTAGTGTAATAGAAACTTAGGAATGTAAGATATTGTAAAGGTAATAAAAGGTAAATTAAAACAAATATTAGATTCTGATTTAGTGGTTTTGTTTGATATCACAACTAGTACAGTTCCTGCTGACCATTCGATTGCGAGATTGCGTGTGTAGCTTCACACAGACATGGAGTGTCTGTGAGGGTGTGCGATCGTCTGTAGAAATATCTAAAAATATAACCGTGGCTTATAAAATAATAGACAATCTAGTAATCGATATCAATGCCAGACTAAAGTAGAAGCAACCCAGTCTGATCACCCTGTCCTTTAATTCGCATTTCACAAATGGCCTTAACATATTAAATATATATATATTTGTAATTTAAATTTGTTTCTGAATCCCTGTTACAGTCAAAATTAAGCAGCCAGGGGACAGCTCAGTCTGAAGATATACAGTAATTTAATGGGATACAGGTGGAAGTTTTTACTCACCATTTACACAAGTACAAGCCATGTTATAAGAGCCATTTGGAATAAAATTCAGCGTTACAGCTTTTGTTAAAGAAAATACATTTTTCAATACTATATCTCAACTCACTTCTGAACTGAGCAATATTTGGTAAAACAGAATTGAGCTTGCATCTGTACAAGTAATATTTTCCCAATAATATGAACAAGTTAAATACAGAGTCAGTAAAAACATTTTTCTTACAGCCAAACATTATCAGTTCCATAGTGAGATTGAGATCATGGATGTGGTAACAACTTTCTGTTAACCACGATAAAAAATTTGACCAAAATGTTTGCACAAATTCACATTCCCATAACAAGTGACAAATAGATTCAGTTTCTTCATTACAGAATGAAAATAAGTCAGAATCTTTTATTTTAACTTTTTTAAGAAATGTATTGGCAGTTCTATGGAGTATCACAATTTGGTGTCATGTGTTGATTTTTAAAAACGATTTTAGGAAAATACAGTTCCAGTCAAGACCACACTGAAAATCCTCTTGCCACTTTAACTGTGCTCTTGGTGTCCTATTTGAAGAACAGAGGATATAGTAATAGGCTTTGGAGCCTTTATTAATTGAAAGTAACAACCGAGTAATTGGTAATCCCTGCACATTGTCCAGTGTTTTCTTTCACAATTGACAAGCCAGAAAATATTTTCTTATAGAGCTAATGACACCATAGTATTCTAAAAATGATAAATTCAATTGATACCTTTCATTAAAATCAACCAGAGACAGATAATTGCCATTTTCATCAACAAGATCACAAATTTGAGAGATACCCCTTTGAAACCACTCTTCATAAAAATAGTTTCTCATCAATAACAATATTGCTATTATAAAATATATGATCAGACAAGAAATCTGATATATATGTCTGAGGCCAGTGTATATCTGTGTAGGTCTCCCTATGTCTGCTGTCTCCCTAATGCTGGTTTATATATACATAAACAAGACGAGGATCTAACTTCCTAATTTGTTTTGAGAACCTGCAAATTGTCACATAATGTGGGTCTATGGCTGTATAAGTCTCTCATACACACAGATATCACTGACCAGTTTCTACAGACCGGCCCAAACAGTTTCAGCATTGTAAAACCAAAAATACAAAAACAAAATCAAGTATTGTAAAGTTGTACTTCTGTGAGCAATCAGCCGAGACGTTCCAGACGTCCTCATGCCAAGACCTGCCAGGAGTGATATGTCTGCTAGAGGTGCTACAAGCACCGTGATCATCACAAATAGGTAGCATGTAAGTCACCGATAAATCGGCCACTTTCGGACCTATTTCTGTAATTCTATAATCACGTGACACATTCTACCTGACGCCCAATTCTATTGGATAAAATAGCGGAATCGTGGACTTCCGGCTTAAATGCGAGCAAATTCAGTGAACATTCAAAAGCTAGGTGACTGACAATTAAATCTCATTGAAAAGTCCATCGCTAAGTATCCTTCAAATGGCTTATTTAATTGTGAAATAGACTTTATTGAGGTCTTTTCAATGAGATCAATAGCGCCTGCTCAATGCGGCTATTAGCGGTAAGTGATGCAGAGTGGGATCCTCTACATGCATCCGTCTCCCCGCGACATGACAGCAAGTATTCCAGGTTTTGACACTTCCAGTTTTTGTCGTCATGACAACCGGACGCCAATGGCAGGGCCTCCTTTTTGCCGTCTTGGTATCGAATATTGGCTATCGAATCGTTCTGGCTGGAATCACACCTTGTCAGTTCATGTACATTTTTTACTGTAAGCTGATAGATTTATCGAAAACATATACTTGAGGACCTGTACAAGATGTGACACGCTGGATGGGGTGGTGGGACATACCGGGAAAGCTATAGGCAGTATTACCCTGTTGTTGCGACTTTCATCGACAGACTTGGTGTAACCAATCAGTTGGTGTAACCAAAACAGACCTATTGAGGTAACGCTGAGCTCAAAACGGGTATCTGTGTTTCCACACACCTGGTGGTGTGTGAATAAAGTTGAGCCAACTACATGTGGTCAGGTTGAGCGTCGACTTCAAACAGGTTGTTTGGGGAGAGTCGTGATCCAAGACGGGTGGACACTCCGGAGTTACAAGGGCATACCAGGGGTGTTCGATGCAGAAAGTGGAGATTATACGGGTAGTCGTATGGGTGGTCGAAGCAGAAAGTGGAGATTACACGGGTGGTCGTATGGGTGTTCGATGCTGAAAGTGGAGATTACACGGGTAGTCGTATGGGTGGTCGATGCAGAAAGTGGAGATTACACGGGCAGTCGTATGAGTGGTCGAAGCAGAGCGTTGATTTCAGACTGGTAGTTGGTGTGGAACGTTCACATCGCCACGGTGGTCGGTCATGTGAGAGCAGTGGTGAGTTGAGATTACCTTGCCAGCAAGTCGTTGCAAGTTAAAAATTGGTTTTCTTATTGGAAAAAAATCAAACTTTGTGAAATATTTTGGATTGTCGCAGAAACCACGCAGTGTAGGAATCTGACACAGCCAACAGTTTGTCAAAACAAAGAGGTCAAGAAGAGCCCAAACACTAGTTTTGTTCATATGCGTTTAGTGATAATGCGGTTAAGAACTAATTCATTGACATTTTTTAATTCAAAACACAAACCAAAATTTTTATTTGTCGTAAACTTCTTATAAATCACAAACGAACATATCTGATATTTAAACAAGGAATAATAAAACAAATATTGTGAAGGTTTTCTTGTGAAGCTGTTTTAGACATCCTAGACTGTTCCAAGATTCGGTCATGCTTTAATATTGCTGTTTATTATTAATATTTAATTGTTTCCTTCAGACATCATGTCAAGTCACGTGCAGCAGTTTCACTG